GTCTTCCAAGTAGCTGGAACTACAGGAGCGCGCTACCACACCCAGCTAATTTTTTATTTATTGTAGAAATGAGGTCTTGCCAAGTTGCCCAGGCGGGTCTTGAACCCGCGGGCTCAGGCAATCCACTCACCTCAGCCTCCCAAGGCGCAGGATTATAGGCTGAGCCACCGAGTCCGACTTTTTAAAATTTTTTTATTTTTGGTATACATAGTATTAGGAACATAGCAGATTCATCAACATTGAACAGGCTTTTGCAAATAACGGACGTGAAAGGGGGCAAACAGTGCCCCCTTCAGGTGAAAGAGATATTTACTTAGGAAATTCCTACAATTTATTCCTGTACATGAAAAGAACTTGGCTTAGTCAAGAAATGTGACTGGGTGAGGTGGCTCACATCTGTAATTTCAGCTCTTTGGGAGGCCGAGGCGGGAGGATTACTTGAGCCCAGGAGTTTGAGACCAGCTTAGACACATAACAAAACCTCCTCTCTACCAAAAATAGAAATAAAAATAAAAAATAAAATTAGCCAGGCATAGTGGCACATGCCTGTAGTCCCAGCTACTTGGGAGGCTGATGCAGGTGGATCGCCTGAGCACAGGAGGTCAAGGCTGCATTGAGCTGGGGTCGTGTCACTGCACTGTTGTGCCTGGGTGACAGAGTGAGACCCTGAAAAAATAAAGTCTGTTCTGTTTATATGAATTTCAGGTTTCTATTTACACTAAATCAAAAGACCTCGAGGTTTAAAATGTACCTTGTCCCTTCCTTCCTCACTTTTTTTCTTAAATTCTACCCTTTGGCATGTCATATCTCTTCAAAAAGCCTGTTTCTTCCACTTGATATTCTTTCAGACATATAGAATAATTATTATCTAAATTTTAAGCATAACCTTAGGGTTTTAACAGCACTTATTATGTGTCTAACACTGTGCCAAGAACAGTGAGGAATGCCAAGGGTACAAGGTAAACTCCATCTGCGTAGAGACTGTAATGTATTTAGGGAGGAAGAATAAGGACCTCAAAACAATAGCAAATGCCTCAAGAAGGTATGTCACTAGGAGTCAAATTGTTTGGTTCAGATTCAATACTATATGACATTGGAAGAGAAGGAATCAAATAATTCTTTGATTATAAGAGAAGAACCCTAGGAGGGAAGATAGTTTTCTGATGGGCATTATAGGATTAGTGCAGTTTAGCGTCTGAAATATGCATAAAAGGAAAATCTGGGTGGGTGGAACAACTGGTAAGGAAATTCCAGAGTCAGCAATGAGCTTGTGGTGCTGATGGGTCAGCATGGAGAATAAACTGCTGGAAGAGGGTGTATTTTGGGAAGAACTATGAATGAGGTTTAAATAGGTCCTAGTTCCCAGGGAAAGAATGGGTCTCTACTACTTAAGAGGGTGAGCAGATTTGGGGGAGGGAGCAATGAGAGACAGTTAAAAGAGTTTAGACTTGGCAAGTAAAATTTCTGAGCAATGAAAAAAAAAACATGGTCACATATCTGCAGAGAATGAAGTCTAGTAAATGTGATCTGCCTCATCTTCTTTTGAAAAAATAAGGAGATTTCTTTATGATTAATCACTCAAGTATCTACCTGCCTGTATCAGAAATCAGCCCAGTAAGGTTCACCTTGAATTCTCCTCAGTTCTGTCTCTATTTAATTTTCAAAAAACTTCTGTATTAGTGTGCTTTCCCCTCAAAGTAGAGCCTGAAGTTAGGACTCAGGTGAAGGTTGTTATTTAGGAAGAGCTCTTAGGAAGCGGAAGTGAGGAAGCAGGTAGAGTGATGCTGGGGCTTAATTCTGCCAGGATCTCCCAGAAGAATGCAGGATGCTTCCCAGAATTATCTGCTTAAAAGACACAAAGTGAATGCATTTATCCACTGGCTCTCTTTCCCCATTGTTTGGTGCTTGCCAGCAGTAGTGGTAATTCCCCTGTACTTTCAGGCTGAGATGCCCACAGCCCGAGGTGTCAGAGAAGGCCCTGAGGTAGGTATTTTTAAAAAATACACAGAGTATGCTTAATGTTGCATGTTATCAGCTTGAAGTGAGTATGAGATCCCCTAGAACTGTCTACCACAGCTCTGGCTGAAATCAGAGCTAGGTATTCGGATGAGACAACAAGGAACAAGTGATATTTTTCACAGTCCTCTCTTTGTACTACTCAGATGCATGTTCACCCTATATCATTTCTACCGTGTCACTGAGTCTTCAAGGTTGTGGCTGACTACAATCTCTTTAAAACACTTAATACAGAAAGGTTGCATAACACAAGCTTCAGTTCTTCACACCCTCCTTGCTGGGGTCTCATTTCTTGGCCACTTTTCCCATTTCAGACCTTGTTGCTATAACTGCCATCTGCTGCTTTTATTAGGCATGAAAACACCAGGAGATACCAGTATGAAGCACTTAAGTTCCAGACACATTCTTCCCCACATTCATTGTGTCATTACAACCTGGTGCTTTGTGATAATCAGGGTCAATTACCCCTCCCAGTCTAATAACTCCTCTCTGCTGCTGAACCATTGGCACAGGGAGTTCAGAGTGACCCAGGTAGCAGTCACAACTTCAGGTTAGAATCCCTGATGGTAGCATCCTTCCTCTAGGAACCAGGACCTCGAATCCAGCAGAGCCTAGGGTTGTGGGAAAGAAAAACACAAATTCTGAAAATGAGTTACAGGGCATAATGAGACTCTATTCTACTTCCATCTCTTGGTGTCTAAACTTCCCACAGTATCATGTATCAGCCCCCGTAGTTTAACGAATGTTATCACTTCTTGAAGGACAGCATTCCAATCACTGAGGTGTTTACCCTTGAGCTGGCTCCTCAGTGGAACATTTCACAGGCTGTTCCATTCCTCTTCTAGGTCCTCTAACCTAATACTGTGGTCCTAACTCATCTAAGTGTATGACGGGCCCAGTGCATTTCCTTCCTGGTTATGCCCTTACTGTTACACCTGCTGTGTTTTAAAATGGGTGCCTTGTGAATGAGAAGATGCAGTTTTGGACTGAATGGACAATTAAAATACAAGCAATAATAAAATGGAAAAAGATGAAAATTCCTGGTCTGAGTTCCCAGGCAAATTGTAAAGATTCTCTGTACTGAGAAAATTCTTAGGAAGTCTGGACTGTCATGTGCACCTTAGCTCTGAGGGTCAAATGCAATAGTACCATGAAGGCCCTTTGTAAAACTGGATATCACTGCACATGCCGTTATCTTTACTGTTAGTTTAAGGATTGAAACTTGCAGACTTCAATCTTCTATTTCTTTTTCTTTTTTTTTTTTTTGAGCCGGGGTCTCACTCTGTTACCCAAGCTGGAGTGCTGTGGCATGACCATGGCTCACCCACTATAGCCTTAAACTCCCAGGCTCAGGTGATCCTTTTGCCTTAGCCTCTCAAGTAGCTAGAACTACAGGCACATGCCACCATGTCTGGTTTTTTTTTTTTTTGTGGAGACCCATTGTTATGTTGTCCAGGCTTATCTTGAACTCCTGGGCTCAAGCAATCCTCCCACCTCAGCCTCCCAAAGTACTGGGATTACATGCATAAACCATCAAGCCTTGCTCATGTTTCTGCTTCTCATAGTCAGCTAGGAGGAGCTTTTATTCCTAAGAGAAGTCAGTGATTTTCTATACCTGTTACCCCATCACTTCCCCTGCCCCACACCATTCCCCAACCTTGCACAGGTTCTGAGGTCTGAGGTTTCTGTAAGCCTCTCCCTGTTGCTCTGCTCACTGTGTGCTCAAATAAGCACAGAAGTACATCGCGGCATCCCCTAGCTGTGACTCTGAGATCTTGAGACTGAAGGATTTGGCTGCTTTCTGGAAGTTCACAGAGAAGCGATTCTCCGTTGCATTCTGTTGCTTATAAGCTTCTTGGCGAATAATGGGAATCATCTGCCTGCTGGGAGGCTGTTTGTACCAGAACAAATAATAATTACTGTCGCTAGTGTCGTATAGGCAATTCAGGGTCACAGTCTCTGCCTCCTGCACAGACATCTCTGGTTGAGACTGAGAGACTGTCTGGGCTATGCTGGGTTCTGTGGGAAAGAGAAGAGAAAGGACTTCAGTGGAGTATCATGTCAGAGAGAGAGAGAGAGAGAGAGAGAGACAGACAGACAGACAGACAGACACAGACAAACTCACAGGTTGGTTCCCCACCCACCTTTCTTTTTGATTCAGGCCCCAGGCAATGTATTCCTACTTTCTACCTCCAGTAACTGGACTTTAAGAGGCAGTGCAGTTCCTTTTCTATTATTCTCTGTTGCTTCCCAGTCCCATTAGATGCCTCTGTAAATAAAGACCTACGTGTTTCTTACCCAAACAGGTGGAAACCGCGATTGCCCACAGCCAGCTCACAAGTGTCATGCTGTCAGCACTCCCCTGCAGGGTGAAACGTCTCCTGCTTCTGATCTGGGTTCTCCTCTGTGCATGGTGACAACTCTCCTTCAAGGCAGGAAATGCTATGGCAGGTGGGTAGGCAACCGTGTCTCAGTGAGCAAAGCTTTTCCAATACTTCTTGGTCTCTTTTTCAGAAAATGGGTCTTTGGTTATAATTTCAAATGGAAATAAAAAATGTTTTCTGAGTGTTTTTAGTGTAAGATGAAATTAAAGAGGAAACAGAACTGGCAAGTTTGTTTTTGATAAGACCTGATCTTGGAGAGGAGAGTGTGACCCAGAATGGTGAGCAGAAGCAGCTGATTCCATTCACAACCATGGCAAACTCTGTGATTTCCCTTTTCTTCTTTAAATAAAAATGACAAAGCAAATTTGATAAAATGTAAACACTTAATTGTGGGTAATAAGAATATCCCTGTTATATCAATGCCATCCTTTTTTTTTTGTTGCATTTTTACAAAATTTCAAAGAATTAGAAAAAGATATGTTTGTGACTAGAAAGAGCACTGACTGAATTTAAAGATAAGTAAAAGAACACATAGTGTCTACTTGTGCTTATCTTCTACATGGATTTGGAGTCTCACTCTGTTGCCCAGACTGGAGTGCAGTGACCAATCCTGACCACCGCAGCCTTGACCTGCTGGGCTCCGGCGATCCTTCCGCCTCAGCCTTCCAAGTAGCCGGAATTACAGGCATGGCCTACCACGCCCGACTGATTTTTTGATTTATTGTAGAGATGAAGTCTCGCTGCCCAGGCGGGTCTCAAACCTGTGGGCTCAGGCAATCCACTCACCTCAGCCTCCCAAAGGCGCCGGATGGATTTTTAAAGGATTTTAAAATCCTTTGTTTATGCTATGTCAAGAAGATCAGAAATAACTATTGCAGAAGCTCTCATCAGTACTAAATTGCCTCAAACAATTTAGATTTAGATTTATATTAAAATTGGTCTCATCACTCCTATTCCACTTTGGAAAAATATTGTGAGCAAAGAAAAAGTAAAAACTTTACTCTGGAGAGGCCAGCACATTGGTTCATGCCTGTAATCTCAGCACTCTGAGAGGCCAGGGAAGGAGGACTGCTTGAGCCTAAGCATTCCAGACCAGCCAGGCAACATAGCAAAACCTCATCTTACAAAAAATAAAGAAATCAGATGGGCATGGTGGCACATGCCTGTAGTTCCAGCTACTTGGGAGGCTGAGGCAGAAGGATTGCCTGAGCCCAGGAGGTTGAGGCTGTGGTAGGCTGTGATTGTGCCACTGCATTCCAGGCAGGGTGACAGAGCGGTACTGCAATTCAAAAATTTTTTGAAAAATAGAAATAATAAAAATAAAAACGTTACTCTGATTTCTTAGAATGTTGCATTACCAGAGGGAGTGATAAGGATCCTTATGCAATTCCAGAGTTGGAGTCCCCAAGCTGAGTGTATGAATGAGGTCCCTGTTACATATTGGGTGCTGTCTGAGGAACATGGGTTCTCTGAAACAGAGGTGGGTGACTGAGTGTCCCTACTCAGAGAGATGTGCAGGGAGTTGTGAGCATTGGGGCCAGCCCTGAGTGAGGCTGCTAAAATTCCTTTGTGGCAAAGCTCAGTTTGGTAGTGATGGAAGAAGGAACACCAAAATTTCTTCTAGATCATCTTCATCCTTGTCTCATGACTTGAACTTGGTTTTGGATTCCTTAAAGTCAACTTGAACACAAGGATTTGTATGTAAGTTGTTTATTGTAGGTGATTCTAGGAAACATTGATAGAAAGTTCATCAGTGAAGGAAAGAAGCCAGTACAAGGTGTGCAGTCAGGATAGTCGCCACCATGGGCAATTGAAGCTCACTCCAGCTGGGTAACTCTGGGAAATGAAATAGTGTACGCTTTGGAGTTATCCCAAATGAGACACGGAGAAACTAGAGTTATCATCTATAACTCATTCATCACTGACGGAGGACTGCTTTGGGGGCACAAACCTTTGTCATTCCTGGCTTGCTTTGCACACCCTCCACATTGCTCCCATGACCGGAAAGTAGTCTTCAGGGTTGCTAGGATTTTTAGCAAGTAGTATTAATGTGTTGCTGTGACTTCCAAGGGAATATGGGTGAGGCACCTACAGCATCTTTATAATTCATTCCTTGCCTTACTCAGATCCACTTGTGCTCTGTGTTAAGTCCACTCAGATCTCTAGTTTTATTTTTAAGACAACAAGAGAGTTAGTGGGACAAGTTACACTTGCTATAGTTGATTCCACGGTATAATTTATACTTATAATCTTCCTTCCTCTGCCTTCTGTACCATCCTTTCTTGATTCCCCTCACCTTAGGCTAATATTTCTACTAGTCTAGATTCTTTTCCAGGAGGGAGATAACCTAGACCTTTATCTTTGAGGAATCTAAGCACCTGGATATTCTGCTCTTATCAGGCCACTGTTGGACGATTATTTGTTTATGGTAATTACTGACATGAAAGTGTTAAAAGTCACCCCAGTGAATCCCCTGAATTTAAGACATATTTTCCAAGCTCTCATTAGGTAGCCACAGCTCTAAAGTTTCCTGATAGTTAGGATCAATTGTCCCTGCCAGTGCAGTTCACTTCTTTCTTAGCCTCCTGGTTTACTGGCATGAGGATCCCCAAATTCCTAGGTAGTATATGTAACTTTAGGTTTGGTAAAAAAAGTTTCTGTTTCCCTAGTATGTTTTCCCCTCCAGGGGAGCCTACAGTCATAAGAACAAGAAAGCACAAAAGTCGATCACTAAAAGTGGGAGTTAGTCCTTCTTTTCCACCCCTTGGTTCTCTGGCTCATATATTTTATGTAACAGGGACAGAGTACTATCTTAAAGAATGCTTTTCAGAGTCTCAGAGTGCACCAGTATACGGAGTTATCCCAAATGAGACACGGAGAAACACAAATGAGTTATCATCCATAGCTCATCATTCATGGAGGACTGCTGATGGAGGACTGATGGAGGACTGCTTTGGGGGCACTAACCTTTGTCATTCCTGGCTTGCTTTGCACATCCTCCACATTGCTCCCATGACCAGAAAGTAGTCTTCAGGGTTGCTAGGATTTTTAGCAAGTAGTATTTGGGATAACTCCCTATACTGGTGCTTTACCTGAGCTTTAAGTGGTCATCCCAAAGTACTAGCAGGCTAGTGGTTTGTGTTGAATATGCGGTAGGATCAGTCTACCCCATGGTCACATGTCCATTGTCATACCTTCTCTCTATAAAGTGAGTCTTTCCATGCAAGGAGTGTGAGATCCATTGATGATCATAATGAGCAATGACTCTGAGCCCTCAGTTCATGTGGCTGTGTGTGATGCCACAAAAGAGAAGACACACCCACAGAATATGTATTAATAAGAAAAAATTCCCGATACCTCCAGGGTGGAAGTGATCCAGTGTAATCAACTTGCCAAGTGTGTGTGGGTTTCCTTGAGGGATGATTCCATATTGGTAGCTCATAGTTGTATCTACTGCTGACAGAGTGCTATTTGTCAGCAGAAGTAGCTAAATCTGTCTTAGCAAGAGAAAATTCATGCTTCTGGGTTTATGGAAAAACTTGATTCTGTCACCTAGGCTTGTCCATTCATAGGTCTGTAGTTCAAGCACTGAAATGGACAAGGAAGGACATCCTCTGCCTGGTTGACGTCCTCTGCAAGATCATCTTGTTTCAGCACTTCCTCTGTAGTGGGTGCTCTTTTGTGGGTATTGACATGAGACACAATGCTCAAAACAGCTTGTGCCTACACTCACTGCTCCTTCAGTTCATGGTCATCTCTAAATGTGACTCACCCCCCTCCAACCCTGCCTGCTCAGGGTTCTGATCCTAGAAAAGAGCAGGATGCTGGACTCACTGTTTATAACCTCTGGTTATACTCCTTGTCTTTGTCTCTGGCTGGTTGAGTTTTTACCTCTGTATGGAAGAACCAGGTTTTCTGTCATATTGTGTATTCTTTTTACTCTTCCTTTATAAACTGTGTACCATTTTCCCTCAGATTTTGATATTTGATCTTCTAAGCCAATCTTCTTGGAATGTTAAAATTCATTTTCTTCACTACTGAATTTTGATGGCCATGGCTTTCAAGGTTTAGTATTTCCTATATTTCTGTAAAAGTCTACAAAGGAGCTCAAAAGCAAGAATTTTACTCTGTTCTGTCTTTGTTCTTTGTGCTCTCTCCTTTCTGATATTATGCCTCAAGTTTTTAAACTAGTTTGAACACAGTAAGGGCCTCACACTGAGAAACAAAATACTTCAGAAATATTTGGAAATATCTCTCTGCATATGGTCTTCAAATGAAATGTCTGACATTATGTTATAAAAAAGCGTTTCATATTTCCCTTTGCTCACATCAAAGTTAGAGTAGGTGCCCCAGGGCCCTTACAAAAAAATGTGTTTGGGCCCTTCAGCGAGGTTTAGGTACAGGGTGCAGGTGCCTGAGGAGCACTGTGTACTCGCTGCACAGAAGAAGACTCTTGAGTCATGGAGCTGGGAATCCTGAACATGCAGGGAAAAGTGCTGGGCTCCTTTATTAAGCCTGGCTGTCAATCTTCCGCTGATCTTCTCTCTCACATTTGATCTCATTTGTATCAGGGAGATGAGGCCTTCCTGAGGATCTTGCCTAAACCACTGGAAGAAATCTGAAGCGCTGTCTCTGTAACTGCAGTTCAGTGTGAAGCTGTCGCCTTCCTTGACTTTCAGAGAAGAAGGGCTCTGTTCCACTGGTGGCTGTCCATTCGACCCTGCTCAGGAGGAATAGAACGTTGTCATATACATACTGTTTGCTTATTGTATTTTTGCTTAGAATTTTAAAAATTAAAAAATTGTTTTACATTGCTTGGAGTAGATCCCTCTAGATTTCCATGCTGGGGCTGTCCCCGCTCTCTATTGCTTGCTCCCTTCCTCCCCTCCTTCCTCCTCCCCCACTCACAGGTCAGCTGCACACACAGGAGCAACAGTGAAGGGCCCAGGAAAGTTTCCATTCTTTCTTTCTCCTGGATCCTCTGCAGATTCAGTTTGGAAATGTGGAATTGACCATGCTCAATGGT